AGATCTAAATTTTTTACGACCTTTGACCGAAAAATTGGACGTCTTATCGTCGAAATATTTTCGTGAAACTCGGATATGTTGTTGGCACGGATGAGAGCTACAAGATCATATAAAAATTTTCAGTATCCGGCAAAGTTGGCGGCGGCGGGTAGCGGTTTGCGGCGGCGGTCCGGCGGACGAGACAAAATTGCAACACTTAATAAAAGTTAGGTATTCTTTTGTCAAATTGAAAATGTTGAGTTTTATTTGTAATTAGACAAAAGGTGGTGATTTTTTATGCATTTAACCCTAATAATAATAATAATAATAGCTACAATAATCTTGGACCATCCATTCTTCCTCACGGACTCAATATTGATCCATGTGAATAAAAAGGGTTATAACTTCTTCTTTTTTTCCTAATTTAAGGGGTAATAATTTTAATCCGTCCCTTTTTCATTTTTAATTTAGGTTGAATTTATTCAACTAATTAAATTACCGGACCAAAATATGACGAGCAAATAAAAAAAAAAATAGAAATTTACCTCTTTAGGATTCGAATTGCAATCATATAAAAAAACGATGTCTTCATTTAATAACTAATTAAAGTCAATGTATTTTTTTGCAAAAATAAAAATAAAAATAAAAATAATGTTTTTTTTTTCTAGTTAATTAACTTAATGACAGTAAGAAACGGGAGGAAAACGGGTGGATCCCACGCAGATAAAGCGCACTAAGACAAGAAAAGCCCAAACGACGCTCAAGTGAGGTTCCACTCCAAAATCAATTGGTGGAATGAGTAGTAACCCAATAGACTTATAAATTAGGCATATTTTCCCTATATAAACAATGTGGGACAACTCACAAGTGATTAGAATGTGGGACAACTCACAAGTGAATATTCTAATACGTTGCCTCATTTGTGAGTCCTTCTTAAGAAAGCCCAAGCACAAATACGGAGTCGGGTGCCCAAGCCATACTAGAAACATGTTGGATAAACGGATACGTCATCGCACGGTCCTACATAGAAAAGTCTGATACCATGTAAGAAACCGGGGAAAACGTATGCGCTCTCATGCAGTGATGCAGATGAAGCGCACTAAGACATGGAAAGCCCAGACGAAGCCCAAGTGGAGTTTCATCCCAAAACCAATTGGTGGAAGGAGAAGTAACCCATTAGACTTATAAATTAGACATATTTTCTCTATATAAACGACGTTGGACAACTCACAAGTGAATATTCTAATAATGACGTAACTTCTCAATCGGTACAAGCGACCACAATGTCCTGAGTTGACGTCCAAAAAAAAAAAACCTACCGAGACTCAAGTTCATTTCGCCAAACTAATATAAGGTTGTAATGTGTTTACAGTTACCTAGCTATCGAGACTCGTTAAGGGCTCAAGCTAGAACTTGAGCACCCTAAACTCGATATGGGCTCGACTCGACTCGTTTACACCTCTAGGAACTTAGACTACCTTTATCATCTATCATTTAACTCAGTGTCATCATCTTGAATGTA